ACCATATATACTCTAAACCATCAACACCTTGCTTATTTAGACCATCTCCAATGGTGCAATTCTTGAGAATTGCAAGCTGATGGTGCAAGGGAGTGAAAGTGGGATGGTGAGTTGCATTGATGTGGGATCAATTACAAAAGTTGCAAATTTGCATCTGATTAATGTTTTCATGCAGTTGCAAATTTTCATGCAGCACACACATATATACAATTCCAATCATAATACTTTACATAATTCAAATAACACAACGACAAAAAACAACTTGAGAGAAAACTCAAATTAATATAACACACTCACCAATTAATATTGAATTGCATTGAAAATTAAGTAGGACCCACGGTCACAATTGATGTATAGTTAAAGTTGCTGAAGTGGCAATTGGGACCATATATTTGCTTGGTGTTGGAAACTTGAACTGAAACTGGAAGTCCTCCTATGCCGAGTCGTTTGGTATATGAGAAGACTGTTGGCTCTTGCGGTATCGTTTAATTTATGCACTCATTAATGGTTAGTTGAAGGCAATTTTTAAGCACTCTAAATAAATCATGTGCAACATTTCAGTTGAATAATCTTGAGAACTAGTTTTTTTATTCAATTATTACATCATATTTTTTGCACTAATTTTGAGCACTCATTAAATGGGTAGAGCATGTGGCGACAGAGGAGCAGAGTTTGAAATCCGGCAAAAAATCCGGTTGGCCCAATCGTAACGACTTGTAAAAATGGAGTCAGTAGTCAACAAATAAAGTACAGTATTTTTATTGGGAATGTAGGATCCCCTGCAGATTTAGAAGATCTCAAACGCTAATAGTACAAAGTACAGTATTTTTATTGGGAGTGTAGGATCCCCTGCAGATTTAGTAGATCTCAAACGCTACAGTATTTTTATTGGGAGTGGAGGATCCCTCGCAGATTTAGAAGATCTCAAACACTTTTGGAAGCCGCCATGGAAGCGAAGAGAGAAGCAGAAGAAAAAATAACAAAACAGTATACAAATATAAACAAATGTTACATAGAGTCCAACAAAAACAAAAAGCTGTACTTTCCCACCCTATTTTATCCTATTATACATATGGCAACTTTCGTATCTTGTATACATTTTGGGAGCATGATCAACAAGTACGCGTCAATATGGCGCAAAAGAACCACCACATGACGTAGGGTTCCACAACACCTATTATGGAATCGCAACAACATGTGATGATTCTTTCGGCTATATTCAGACGGCGACTTATTGTCATTGCTCCCCTCCCTGCCTCTAACAAAGACCCTGCATGGAGAGCAAAGGAGAAACAATACAACGAAGGATTTAGTTTAACAGTCATGATCTAACAATGACATAATGAAAGGAAATGAGATCTAAAATAATACGCAATCTCATCATTACCACTGCACCCGAAAATAAAGCATGGACAGGAGGACGAAGAGGCGGATGGGGTTGATTTTCGGGGTTGAGAAGATGGGAGAAAGGGGTCTTTTCAGGGATTGAGAGGAGGAACGGACAACAGCAGGAGATGAGTGCCTCTTGGGTTTCGGAGCATGGTCTCTCCCTCTCTGATTAAAGAATTTATAAATGAGCTCATAAATTTACTTTGCCTTTCCAGCCCTTCCCATTTACTGAAAATCACACTCCCTACCACTGCCTCGGCCTTGGTAACGCCAGCATTGGTTATGGGCAAAAGCGACTTTCCGAATTCGGCAATATCTGATTGGGTGACACGCACGCGACGAGGATCGAAGGTATTTCACCATCGGATTAAGGGAAAATTTTAGGAATTGACGGTGGGAAATGGGGATGTACTTTTATAAATAGTCTGAATTTGTAGATTAACTAACTTTTTCGTTTACCAACATTACTCTATTGATCTGGTTTATGTTATTCTAACTTGAATCATAACCCTAAACCCTAAACCCTAAACCAAACCCTAATACACGAACCAATCAATACAATATACTCTACAACAATAACAACACCTTATAGGCTTATACCGTAACCAATCAATAACATATATACTTTAAACCATCAACACCTTGCTCCTCCCCTATACCATAACCTTCAAGACCTTATACTGTATACCAACAACACCTTCTTCTATCTCCATCCCCAACTTTCAATTTATAATAAGTGTTTCCTTTGAAATATAAAATGGAACCCACCTTGGCAATTGCTAGCATAATTTAGGGATGTAGATGAATAGAAATTGTTAAGTGATGAATTGGTAAAATTGATGATGTGGCGGTAGGGACCTCGTTTAGAAATTGTTGTTCAATTTTAGGGATGAAGATGATCAATACACTAACCCAATACCATATACTCTAAACCATCAACACCTTATGCAATATCGTATTTTAGGGATGGAGATGATCAATACACTAACCCAATACCATGTACTCTAAACCATCAACACCTTATACAATATCGTATACCTGTACGCTGATAAATTAAAATTATAACTTGCTTTTCAAAACATAAATTAAAAATTGATACTCACTATAAGTATCGAACCAAAAACCTCTATTTTATTGACTAAGCAAATAACAGACAATTAACCAATTAAGCTACATCACATTGATGACCATCTTGCATGATTTCGCTTTCTTATTAAGTGAAGGGTTAAAATGAACGATAAATATATCACAGGGGATTGTTTCAACTTCGGCGGGGACTGAGAGAGTGGAAAAGGGGTAATTATTCTACCAAAAAAGAAAAGAAAAGGGGGAATTAATGAAGAGTTAAATTGGACGGATTGTCTTTACCACGCCACTACAAAATCATTCGGACCAAAAACACGCAGGTTCAAATCAAACAATAAATGAAGAAAGATGAACTTAATAACTCTAACTAATTTTCATTCCATATGTAGTGAATCGCTAATGGCCGAGATCACCAACAAGGCAAAATAGATAATAGGAACCTACCTTGCACACACCAAATCATTTTATCTCGTACTGATAAATGTGTCACGCTACAATAATTATGTCTAAGTTTTTTTAGTAATAAGGCATGATCAGCATTTATAAGCAGATATAAAGAAAATATAAAATCGAGAAAAAATAAGACAACACCTAGCCTCACCCTTTAACCAATTGATACCATATGCTCTAAACCATCAACACCTTATAACCTACCCATATACCATATACTCTATACCATCAACAACCTAATACCCTAAGCCGTCAGTACCCATTTCCTTTAACATCAACACCTTATACAACAATCGTATACCTATACGCTGATAAAATTTTACATTTTGAAAATACTTGGCCAACTAAAGTACATAGGTACTTCAAAAGTGAAATTCTAACTTTCGTTTCAAAACATAAATTAAAAAAATATCCTCACTCAGTATCCAACCACAAGCCTCTAATTAGTCTACAAGAGGTTTGTTATGTACGAGTGCATTGCATAAAGAGGGGAAATCGGTGAGAGAGTGGAATAGGATCTCAATTAATGAAGAGTTAAATTGGGCGGATTGTAGTTTACCTCGTACCGCTAAATGTGTAAAGAGACACGCTAGCATTTACCAAATCCCAAAAAAGATGGAACACAGAATTATGTTTAAATTGCGTGAACTCAATGTATGATCAGGATTTTAGAAGCAGAAGCAGATGAAAATAAGTAAAACAAAGAATTGCCACTAAGATAGACAATTATCAAAGGCCCAACCTAATGACAATCCGGAACTCAGTATCCATTATCAACAAACTAGGTGTCATGGGTCATGTACAAGCCCACTTTTGAATGTTATTGAAAAGCCTGCAAAAATCAATGATCAGACCCAGTCCAACTAGAATTAGTCCTAAATGCACCATTAATACATAAACACAAATTAAGGAGACCTCTCCATCTGATTCGAATCAAATTAGGTCTTCTTCATCTCCTTCCTCAATCCTCTGGGCGAGACGAACACTGCATATCAGGAAACCTTAATTTCACCGAGTGATAAAAGTTTCGAGAAAATGACAATAACGCTAAGACAAGATGACAAAGCACTAGCGACATGAACCCTAGGGTTAGCAAACCTCTTTCAAGGGTTCTTTTGCAAACGAAAAGTTTGATGAGCACAATAATAGACATGGTCGCCGTAATCGTGTTAGAAAGAGATAGGCGAGTAAATTCCGCACGGAAATAAAATGGCGATGAACAAAACGTCGATTTGTGGATAAAAGGATTTGGGGTTCAAAACGATGATTATGTGAGGATTTCATATTGGATGGGGATCTTCTCTTCGAATGTGGATACATAGATTTGGCGTATGAAACATGATGATGTTGGGGATTTGAGATTGGATAGGGAGCTAAATCGAATGTGGATCAAATAATAAAAGGATTTGGGTTTCGAAACGATGATTTTGTTGGAGATTTCAGATTTGATAGGCAGCTTATGATCGAACTTCGAACTTAGAGGGGACCCTCCAAGGCGAATGAGGGATCGTAGAAGGGAGACTGGAAATTGGTTAGGGCGGCGGGTCGTATCCATAGGGTTTAACTTCTTAATCGATATCATTAAACCGGGTACAGTTAGGTTGAAGTCCAATGAATAAAGCATAAACGCTTCGTGATGCTTTTGGTAATTTTCCTTGCCCCCGGTTACCCGTACCCCGGATTTTGCCCTGGGCACCGTAGAACTGCCCATATATATATAATTAATACGTATACTTATCCGATCGATCGATAATCCGATTTTCGCCGAAATACTATCAAAACGTTCGGTTTTAAATCGCGAACTTTCTAGCGATCGAAATAAGAGTTTTGCCGAAATCGGATGTTACAAAAACTATTGTAATCTACCCTAAGACTATAATGATTTTTTAAGAACAATTTGCGTTTGCCCCTACTAAAGTATGAAATTAACAGACGTAAAGCTGATATGAATTAACTTACCGCCATGCTAACTCACTCACGAGTTCTTCTGGAGCATCAGGGAGAACCTAGAGAGAGCCAAAAGTGCATGAAAAATCTAACTTGTACATTGGATTAGACGCAAGCAACACTTTAAACTAATCAAACAGGGATTTCCAGAGTTGACTTGCCTCATCTTTATATGGGTTGCAGTGATTCTTGAACCACAACCTCAAGAACTCCTACAGATTGTCCCCAAATGCCACAAGTTAGATTAGTCTGACACAAGTACTGGATAGCTAACCATATATAACTACACGAAACGAAGAATAAATATCTAAATTGAATAAAGCACCTTATCAACATTTTCAGGTTCAATGCCATTCTGAAACGTTCTTCATAAGAACGAGCAATCTAGTATCTGCTTGAGTCAGGTGTGTGCACCTAGTAACATGAGACTATTCATTTAACGGGAATGGAAGTCACTTTAATAAAAATGAGGAAGTCAAGTGAGCACGATTTGATATTAGAGCACGTGTTTCCGGGAACTGGGAAAGGTTCCAAGCGTACCTCATCAACTAATAGAATGGAACTATCTGAGCCTTTTCCAAATTCATACTTTTTGTCCACCAATATTAAGCCATGGTCAAAAGCCACACGCTGTATCTGAACAGAGAATGTAAGTGACAGACAAGTTTATACATTTTTAATCTCCGCAATCATGATTTACGGAATGAAAAGCAAAGACCATAGCATGACGTGACAAACAAAACTTGTCGTCTATGAACAAAACAGAAGCTAGGACTCCACTTGGAATTAGAATATGAAAAACTAGAGACGCAATACGCTATCTAATAAACCTACCAGATAACAGACATGCAAAGAAAGACATCTAATGTACAAATTGAAAAAATGAATTATCAATTCTGCTCTCTCATAGAAAAACATCTAATGTACAAATTCTGCTTCTCTAAGAAGCTAATTAGTGCAGAGACCAACAAGGACATTGGTATATCTAAAGTAGTAACAAATGACAACACTATCACACTATTTCTTAGGGCAAAGAAACAAAAGTACCCGTCCAAACTCAAATAAGCTCAATGCTTTCCTATTGGCTTCATCATACTCAGCTTCAGTCATCAGACCAAGTCTGATTATCTGCATAGAACGAAATCAAACTACCCAATTACAACAATTCAGGGAAGATGATGGCAACTAGCAAAATATTTACAGGAAACAATAACGACCCTATTTGCTTTCTTCGTATTTTCTATAAGCAATCTCCTTATAGAATTATACGACGATGATTGCAATTTGAATATGGCAATTATTTAGAAAACCTCTCGTGTAGTTATGGGGACATCATCATCCTCAACCTTGGTAGTTGGAGTGATTATGTTTTTCTGTAGCTTTTGGTTTTTCACCAAGCCTGTGCAGACAGTTAACACATCAGCAAGTACTCATGGATGGTAAAAAAATATATAAGGCAAATAAAGAAACCAACTGATTAGTAAATACTCACCGTCTGGAAGAGCATTGCCACAATAATTTTGAACGCCTTTATTATATATCGTCCACAACGATGTATCAGTACTTCCTGTCACATATCCTCTCACTGCATAATAACAAAAAAAAAAAAGACCAAACCCCTTTCATAATAATTGACCTCTAACACAACCAAACTAAATATCACACACCGATATGAGGTCCAAATGCTCACCAACAAATTCAACAGGGAAGAGCGAGCATTTTTTGGCAATCATAACATTTTTTTTTTATAATGGCGATGGGATTAAAATAAAAGAAGCAGAAGATGTCCAGAATTATACAAAGGAGGGATCAACAGGATTGAACCAAGGGAACACAAAAGCTGGGGGAAAACTAAACACAGTATAATGGAGGAAGCCGGACCAGACCGACTCTGCTCCAAAAAAACAACAAAGAAAGGAACATAAACCTCAAATAGCCGGAAGCCACCGAGCTGTTCGCAAAGAAAGAGAGACGAAAGCCACGGGACGCCACCAAAACAGCACCGAAAAGGACACAAGAACAGGGGAGCCACAAAGGAATATATACTGTACAGCACCAGCAAAGCGCCTGCAGCAGGAGACCACTACTAACACTAACTCATCATAACAGCCCCAAGAGCGTCGACAGTCTGGAGGAATACCCAGAAGTAGCGATCCAAAATCCATTCTAACCCAACTCTCACCCAGTGTGCTATCGATTTTCCCATGGACCACAATCCATTCCATTGCACTTCTGGCCGCTTTTTTTGCAACTGCGATTGCTGATGACGTTTTCTCATCGAAAACCCTTTGATTTCTTTCCTTCCAGACGAGCCACCAGACCGAGTGCAAGATACAGTCTTTGAACCACTCTTCGACACTGTCCAGCTTACTCGTTGATTGGTTCTTGATGATAGCTGGTAAATCAGAACCCTGCAGAACCAGGATAGTTCTGTGATTGTTTAGAATTTGCCAAACTTCTTTTACAAACTTGCAATCCTTGAGCAAATGGGCAGCTGTCTCCTCGTTGCTGTAGCATAGATAGCATCTATTCACCATCGACCATCCTCTTTTCTTCAGATTGTCTATCGTTAGAATTTTGTTCTGATTGACAAGCCACATAAAAAAGCAGATTTTGCTAGGGATAACAGCCTTCCAGATCTGACTATGCAGGAAAACTTGATGCCCTTGGAAGGCTTCATTCACCATTGTCTTATACAGAGATTTCACCGAAAACCTGCCATTACAATTAGGATTCCAAAGTACTCTACAAGGGCTGAAAACATTGTTAGAAAAGCTAGCATTATCAAGAAACTCCAAAAGATCCAATCTCTCTCTCTCGGCACCCCCTCTTAAATTAAAGGCAAAATACACTTTCATAGCCATAACTATTCGCGTTGTGACAAATATAACCACTTTTTGAAAAATACACTCGTATAGCCAAAAATTAAAAGTTTGTAAAACTTTAATGTCAACTATAGCCATTTCTGTTACTGCCATTAAAGTCATCACGGATGCCGTCATCGCCAAGTGACATGGCTTCCACCTGGATGACATGTCGTCGCCAACTAGACTCGGTTTGCCCACGTCACCGCTGACTTGGATTCCACCAACAGATTAAAAAAATTATTATATAATTAACTAGTTCCCCTTTAATTTCTCCTCGCTAATTACCTCCGCCATCCGGATCCAAAATCCAATCGAGACCACAAAAATCCTGCACATCAGCTCCCTTCTTCTTCTTCTACTTCTTCTCCTTGATTTGACGAAATCAATTTCGTTTCTCACAACCTAACCCGTCCCCAGTCAATAACAATGATGAAAGAGGACGAGCGGTTGCCGTGAACGCCATCAAGGTGAGGATTTGGCCGGAGATCGACGATTTCGTCGGAGAGGATTCCACCTCCAATCGACCGCATCGCTTCTCCATCCAAGCCGAGAGGCATAGAGAAGCCGCGACCTTCATTTCTCCCTTTCTCTTTCGCTGCCGACAGGTGAAGAAACCCCAGCTCTGTTCTGCTCTTGTCTATCTACAGCATCGATTCTCCTTTAGTTTCCCCACCGCCGACGTGACTTCCCTCCAGCTCTATTGCCCTCTAATTTACCACAACGGAGCTCCGCAATCTCGTAGGTATTCAATTTGCTCTGCATAGCAAGCAATTGCGCATCTTACCTATTGTAGGGTTTCGACGACAAAGACGCGTCCCGCTCCCCGCCGCCGTTATTGGAGGAATCGGAATCATAATAAGGGGGAAAAGCATTGGAGAGATCTCTTCGTGGGAGATGATCTGGGCCATGGATTTCCACACGGTGGCACCGATGTCGTCGATCGCCTGGCCGACGGTCTCGACCTTCTTCATGTTCTTGTTCGCTAGGCTAAGGGGAATGAGCTTGTGGGTGCCGCCTTCAATTTGGAGTGATGGTGGAGGGGGTTTAGTGAGAAGTGAGACAGAATACTCTGGGTAAAACTCAATCGACAACAGCCGACGGGATGTATGGACAACGGGGAAGAGAATCGTGATGGGCCTCCTGGGTTGGGTAGATGGAAAGAAGGGGAAAAGAAGATGATGAAGTTCGGTTTTTCATTTTATTTATTTTTACTTTTTAGTGTAATTATAATAAAATAAGAAAGGAAACTTTCCACCTAGGATTAGTTTAAACAAAAAAATCGCCACATCACCAGAAAACGTTAGTACAGTCAGCATTTAAGATATTGTCAAAGTTTTGGACGGAATGGCTATACGAGTGTATTTTTCAAAAAGTGGCTATATTTGTCACAACGCGAATAGTTATGGCTATGAAAGTGTATTTTGCCTAAATTAAATCTCAAAGGAATGTACCAACTCACCTGATCAGGGTTGTTAAGGAGTGCAGTGTCGGCGAGGCTCGCGTCAGGGACAGCGGCGGCATCAGCAACACGAGGAAACGATTTAGACAGTATCATCCTAGGTGACCAGCAGTCATGCCAAAACGAGATAGAGGATCCATTTCCAGGCTCAAGACTGGCAAAATTCCAAAACAGATCGTACTCCTTGGATATGTTCGCCCAAACCGATTGAGATAACCCCTGTCTCACTCTCTCAGTCTGCCACACCGAAACAGGATGTTGATACTTGATAGCAATTAACTGCCGCCACCAACTTTCTTTTTCGGTCGCGTATCTCCACAACCATTTGGATAACATCGCATCATTGAAAGCCTTTAAGTCATGTATGCACAGACCTCCCTTTTTAGTCTCACATTTGCAGAGATTCCAATCTACCAGAGCCATTTTCTTAGACTCACCCTTACCATTCCACAGAAACTTCTTCTGCACCTTTTCCATATCCTTAATGATCGAGGCGGGGCCTTAAACAGTGAGAAGACGTAAGTTGGCATGCTGGAAAGGACTGCTTTGCATAGCACTAATCTTGCTCTCGACGACAGAAGCTTGCTCCCCCACCCGTTTAATTTATTCTAAAAATTTTCAAGTAGAGGATCCCAGATCCTTGGATCGTTTGGCTTTGCTCCTAACGGGAAACCAGGTATTTGAGAGGTTCGCTACTCCAATTACAACCAAATATAGCAGCAAAGAAACTGGGATCAGCCACATCACCAATTGTGTACATCACGGACTTGTCGAGATTAATTCTCAAACCAGTAACGGTTTGAAAGCAAACTATTGTAGCTAGAACGTTGATGACCTGCTCATGATTAGCATCACAGAAAATAAGTGTGTCGTCAGCAAAAAGAAGATGAGTTACCTTGCCACTTTTCGTTTCTTCATTAAAGTAGAAGCCTTCAAACTTGCTTGCTGCCCTGGCAGTTCTCAGCATCGAAGACAGAATGTCCATTATCAGCACAAACAACCCAGGGGACAAAGGATCCCCTTGGCGGAGTCCTTTGGAAGCTTTAAAATAGCCCTTAGCTTCCCCATTAACCAACACAGACACCACCAGAGCACATAGTGCCTTTAATCCAACTGATCCATTTGTCGGGAAAGCCAAGAACCTTAAGACTTTTAAACATACACTCCCAGTTCACATTATCGAAGGCTTTTTCGATATCCAGTTTGAACATTAGCCCGGCTTTCCTACTCCTTCTTCTACTCTCAACCACTTCGTTAGCTATAAGACCAGCTTCCGATATCTGACGTCCCTTAACCGACGAGAATTGTTGCTGAGAAACAATTTTAGGCAGAACCATACTGAGTCTTCTTGAAAGGACTTTACTTATTAGTTTGTTGATGCTCCCGATCAGGTTGATGGGTCTGAGATCCTTAATATCTTCGATATTATCCTTTTTCGGAGTTAAGCATATGAAAGAATGGGTAACACATTGTGGCAGGAATCCCGTCTCGTGGAAGTTACTAAAGGCCTCGAGAACTTCCTTTTTCAGCCATTGCCAGCTCTTTTTTAAAAACTCCATGTTGAAACCGTCGGGACCAGGAGCCTTGCATCCATCACAATCCCGCAGACCAGACCAAATCTCTTTCTCTGTGAACGGTCTTTCCAGAAGCCAACGATCCCCATCATCAATACCCTGTAAATCCAAATGAATAGGAAAAGGCCGATGTTGCTGTTGTTCATGAAAGAGGGACTGATAATAGTTTACAATACCTTCATCTATATCTTCCTTTTTCTCGACTGTAATGCCATTGATATTTAGTTTGCTAATGTAGTTCACCCTTCTCCTATAATTGGCCATCTTATGAATATATCCCGTATTCTTTTCGCCCAATTTAACCCAGCTTTCTCTTGATTTTTGTCTCCAGCACATTTCTTGAAGATAAAGATTTCTGCTGAGATCAAGAGCCCAACTAGTTTTGCTATTTTCCTCTTCACTTGTTAGAAGCCTATCCTCCTCAACCCTTTCCAATTCCTTTAAATTAGCAAGGAGATCATCAACCTTCTTATCTATATTGCCGAATACTTCTTTATTCCAAACTTTGGATTTGGATTTAATGAGAGATAATCTCCTGGCCAAAATAAAAGCTCCTCCCCTCCCCTGAACCCTTTCCGACATCCATTGTTGATATGACTTGAATCGGATTATCAGCCGCTACGACTGGTAATCGGGGATCCCACATGGAGAAGTACTATAAATACTTCTCATACTCCTCTGTAATCTGTAATCTCCTCGATATAGTGAAACTGGCTCTCTCTCGCCCGTGGACTAGCTAACACACATCGTGTTAGTGAACCACGTAAATCGTGTGTCTGTGTCTTTCGATTCTCGCTCTCGTATTCTTGCTTTGTCGATTCCGGCGATTTCCCGATCCGTAGCAGCGCGTTTATAACAAGTGGTATCAGAGCCGCGGCTGGAAATCAGGCTAGGGTTTTCGATTCAGAAGAATGACGTCGGTGAACATGAAGATCGAAAAGTTCACGGGGAAGAACAGCTTCGCTATATGGCAGATCAAGATGCAGGCTTTACTAAAACAGCAAGGGCTGTGGGGGCCGCTGTCTGCGAAACAGAAGAAGGCAGCGGTCGATGACGATGAGTGGAATACCCTGGAGGAGAAGGCCCACTCGACCATCATGTTATTGTTGTCTGATGACGTCATCATTGAAGTCGCTGCTGAGAAGACTGCCGCGGGCTTGTGGTTGAAACTAGAGAGTCTGTACATGACTAAGTCTCTAACCAACAAGCTGCATCTCAAGCAACGGTTGTTCAGCTTGAGGATGCAAGAAGGTACGCCTTTGAGGGAACATCTCGAACAACTTAACTCTATTTTGCTGGATCTGCGTAATATAGATGTTCAAGTTGATGACGAGGATGCTGCCCTAATCCTGCTGGTTTCTTTGCCGAGTTCATATGAGAATTTCGTTGATTCTTTTATTGCCGGTAAAGAAAGCGTGTCGTTGGAGGATGTCAGGTCTGCTCTTCATACGAGAGAGATCAGACATAAGGCGTCCGGATCTGGTACAGGTGGTGAGGCATCGGGTTTGGCTGTTACAGGTGGAAAGGGAAAGAAGAAATCTGGTAAAGGGAATTCGAGCAAGAATTCCAAGGGTCCCGGTCCACAGCCAGGTGATGCTTGTCACAACTGTAAGGAAGTGGGGCATTGGAAGTACAACTGTCCCAAGAGAAGAGGGCAACAGAAGAAACAAGGTTCAGTTGCCGTGGCAGAAGTGGACAACAGTTCTGAAGACGATCTCGCCTTGGCTGTAGATGAGAAGGCACATCGTGGTGATGTGTGGTTTCTGGATACTGCAGCCTCATATCATATGTCTCCGAACAGGGATTGCTTCACAACCTACGAGCAGATAGATGGTGGTAACGTGGTCATGGCAAATGGAGCTGTCTGCAAGGTTGTTGGAATCGGGTCCATAAAGGTTCGGACACATGATGGTTCGTTCTGTACCGTGAATGATGTCAGACATGTTCCACGAATGACGAAGAACCTGATCTCCTTGAGTCTACTCGACAGCAAGGGTTTCAGTTTCAAAGGAAAAGGTGGAGTTGTGTATGTCTGCAAGGGTTCGAGGAAGGTACTGAAGGGCGTGAAGCGTGGGACCTTGTATGCATTACAAGGGTCTGTGTTGTCTGGTTCTGCTGCAGTTGCATCGTCTCAGGTTCAACAGGAAGATATGACCACTCTCTGGCACATGAGACTGGGGCATATGAGTGAACGGGGGATGCAAGTTCTATCGAAGAGGGATCTTCTTTGCGGGCACAAGGTGCAGAATTTGGAATTCTGTGAGCATTGTGTGTTTGGGAAGCTACATCGCAGCAAGTTTCCCAAGAAGGGTATCCACCGGACGAAGGGGATACTGGATTACCTCCACTCCGACTGTTGGGGTCCTTCACGAGTTGAATCCATTGGAGGCAGCAGGTATTTTCTGTCTATTATTGATGATTATTCGAGATTTACTTCGATTTTCATGATGAAGCAGAAAAGTGAGGCTTTCACGAAGTTCAAGCAGTGGAAGACATTGGTGGAGAATCAGACCGGGAAGAAGATCAAGAAGCTGCGAACGGACAATGGTCTGGAGTTCTGCAGTTCTGAGTTCAACGAATTCTGCAAGGATGAAGGGATTGCCCGTCATCGGACTGTTAGAGATACACCTCAGCAGAATGGCGTTGCAGAACGGATGAACCAGACATTGTTGGAGAGAGCACGGTGCATGCTCTCTAATGCTGGACTAGAGAGAAGATTCTGGGCAGAAGCAGTAAACATGGCGTGCTTCCTGATCAACCGTGGACCTCACACAGGTATCAAGTGTAAGACTCCTTATGAAGTGTGGTATGGTAAGCCTGCTGATTACTCTTCACTGAAAGTGTTTGGGTGTCCTGTTTATTATCATGTGGATGAGGGTAAACTGAACCCAAGGGCAAAGAAGGGTGTATTTGTGGGTTACGGAGATGGAGTTAAGGG